AAGGATCTCTCTCTTCAGGTACCGATCATCGAGGAGGTTAAGCAGCTTCTGACCTCGCGGGAACGACCTCTAACGGTGCTGCACATCGGTTAGCTAGGCATGGCGTGGCAAATAATTTATGTAAGGTTTGGTTACGTGAACCACCAGACTGCATTTTGCAGGTTGTATCAGACGAAATCTCTAGTTGGGAGACTTAAATAAAGTTAGTTGTGAGTTTCAAAAAAAAATACTATTCATGCGCACTTCATATATTCATATCGTTAGCATTTAGGTTGAAAGACTAATAAAAAAAGGACATGATTTCTCTGGCCGTGCACACATATTCCTTTTTCACTTGTTCACACTTTCTTTTCTTGCTTTTAGCCTTTCAAGTTTGGCAGTCTCTCTCTCCCTCTCCCTCTCCCTCTCCCTCTCCCTCTCTCTCTCTCTGGCTTGTCGCTTAATTTTTGCTTGCATGTCGTGTTTTCTTTCTCTCTAGGCAGCCTCTTTTTTAACTTAGAATATAACAGTATCATCCTTCACCTTTCTTATTCGAATTGAGTTTGGTACCGCGTGTGACAAGACAAACGGCTTAAAGCCTATGCCTATCCTTACACTTGTCCATAAAGTTTGGCAAAACAAAGTACCGCATTCTCATCCGTCGGTAGCCAAAAGATGGATCCCCTAGCAATCGAGTCAAAGAGATGGAGTGCATGTGCTGATCGATGTGCATGTGTGTGCCCGTGCAAGAGAAAGTTTCTTTGGTCTTGAGCATCTCTTCCACGAGGCTAACTATGAAGGTGACGCAGCAACCTTCGACTCCCTGCAGCCTCTCGTTTCGCCACGATCAGAGTATGCATGCATGTTCCCAGCTTCGTCCGTACTGCTCACTGTTGTGGAGTGCGCTCGATGGGCGGTCCCATAGTACAAAGTTAGGCTCCCTTCATGCTAAAATAAGTGTTTCAACCCTAGTACATTTTGTATTAAATTAGCATAAAGTGTATTAAAATTGAGACACTTATTTTAGGACTAAGCAAGCATTTTGGTTGCCAAAAATGTTGGATAGACCCTTACAAAACGCACAAGATCGATGGTCCCAGCGTTTTCTTTTATCAAAGAGGCAGCTCAACCCTGAGCAGGGAGCCCGCAACGTCCGGCGAGGGCTCGCTAGGACCTTACGGATGGAGGGGACGACACCACTCACCATCTGAGTTTTCGTCTTTGGTGGATCTGGTCTTAGTGCGTCTACGTCTGTCTGTCTTGCAGGTTGGGTCCTTCGGATCTACGCTTCTCTTTATCAGTGGCGGCTGCTGTTCTGTTGCGCTGGTCCTATGGGGCCTTAGCACGATGACTTTTCGACTGCCTACTACAACAATGTTTGCCTAGCTCCAACGAGGGAGGGGTGATGATGGCGGCACGTCTTCGGCTCGCTTCAGTGCTTGTAGTCATCGCTAGGTGGTTTATGGACCTGGATGTAAATTTTACTTCTAGTATTCTTTGTACTACCTTGACAGTTGATGAATGGGCAGTGCTACGCGTCCACCGACGGATAATCAGAAAGGATCCGTCCACTCAGAAGCTGTTAGATCAGGTCCAAACCAACGGTCAACCCCGTCCTCATTATTGCAAAAAAGTCAGTGTTGCAGAACCCTCTTTGCAATAGAGTTCATGTTGCAGAAACATTCAAGTGTTACAGTTCTTTCACCTTCATTTTTTTGCAACATGCATGATGTTGCGGAAGGACTTTTGCAACATAAATGGTGTTGCACAAGTTAGAGGAAGAACGGGAGATTGGGAGGAACACGGGAGGCAACTATGCTAAAGGGATCCAGATCCAAATCCTGCAACATACGAGTTGTTATGGTGGGAAAACTACAACAAGGGCTCAGTTGCAAAACCATAAAAGATAATGCTAGGTGAGCCCTGCGGGACACGCGTCACACGGACGAGATGGCAGACGCCCACATGCGATCCGTCGGCTGAAGCCAAGGTTTTTCCTTGATGAATAGATCAAAAAATTTCTCGCAAAAAAAAGTCACCATCTGCATAAATTTGGCCAAGTGGAACTGGACGGAGGCGACGATGCACAAGTGGAGCTGGACGGTGATTGGCAGGTAAATTTGGCCAGTAGCAGCCGGATATACTCACTTTGTTTTTATTTACTCTGCATAGAGTTGACTGAAGTCAAACTTCATAAAGTTTGATCAAATTTATAGAAAACAATATAAACATTTACCATAACAAATCTATACGATGTGAAAATTCAATAATAAATTTAATGATATTGATTTGTTATTGTATATGTTAATAATTTTGTTTATGAACTTTGTCAGAGTCAAAGTTTGATTTTGACCAAAACTAATATACGGACTAAATAAAAACGAAGGGAGTATAACGGTACAATCCGGTCGGAGGAAACAAAGAGTCGTGCGTGCATGCATGCATGTGTGACTCCCTTCGTCGCGTCAGCTATCCATCCAAAGTGAGGACGCAGGAAGCACTTGATCCCCGTCGACGGCGCGGCGAGACATATCCTAAAGGCAGAGATATGGAATTTCCTGCATGCTTTTAGCCCTTTCTTCTCTTGGTGCAACCAGACGGAAAACCTTAGCGCCGATGACACCGAAAAGCAGCGGCGGTATGCATGAGGATATCCACGAGTCGGCGTCACCAGATGGCAAAAGTCAGTAAGCAAGCTGGGATTGGCACGCAGGAGCTAGCTAGCCATGATAATTAATCAACGACATGCATCAGCCATGCTTTGCTTTTGAACCGATCGGCGTCAGATAAAGGAGCGATGATAGGGATCATTCGGGCAGGTAAAGAGAGAGAGGCCATGTCATGTGTGGATGGCTCACCCACACCTGCTCTTGATTCGGCACGGCCGGTTTGACAAACTCATCCATTTGTCTGGGATTCGCACCGTTGCGGTAGGCTCTCCCACTGTACGTAGGAGGAGTTGATCGGGTTTGGACTTTGGAGTTGCACCCAACATGCACCACACACGTCCACGTAAACTCGGCTTGGATTTCTCACCCGCCATGCATGGTCGTTAGGCCGGACCCGATCGTGTGCGGCGTGCTCACACGGCTGGATTACTAGTGATACGCTGTGTGGATTCAGTTAACTTGAGCTGTGGTTAAAATTATAAGCCATGCAGTTACATTCAGTACGGTGTGGCGGGTGCTTGCGCTTTCCTCACGTCAGCACTGCGAGCTGAAGCAAACTCTTGGTCAAACTTACTGAAGTATAGGAGTACAAGCAAGGCATGTAAAACAGAAACGTGCATGGAACAGAAGTGTCAATCTTTCGTCCTTTGCAGCGCAGCGAAAAAAAAGGCCAGCGCCACACCCACACACGAGTCGGCAAGCTACAAAACTTTCTCTCGCATGCAGCCGCGCCGTCGAGCCGCCACTCACAATCAGGTGTGTGTGTGTGTGTGTGTGTCTGTCTGCTTTCTAGCGCACATCAGCTCGAGTGTGATTACTTACCTAGAGCGCATATAAAAAGGCCCCGAGGCCTCTCCCCGCTAGCCGCAGACTGCAGGAAGATCCATCCATCCAGGGGTACGTCTAGTTAGGCGTCAAGCTCTCGTGTCGACACAATATAGCTAGCTTTAGTTTCGTCCAGGAGAAGCAAGCAAGCAAGCAAACTCTAGCGACTTCGGGCCGGCCGGCCAGTTGAGGTATGCATGTATGGCCATGGTCGTCAGTTCTTCTTCCACTGAACTTGCACGTGTTAAATTCTCTAGCTAGCTAGTTCCGTAGAAGATCTCTTTTTACACCTTGGCCTTGATGGATAAATGAAGTTGTGCCTTTGCCCCTTTTGATTTGAAGTTGAATACATCCATCCATGCTTGTGTTGGTTCTGGGGTTCTATCTGTGTGGAAGGAACGTACGTAGAGTCTTGGTGTTTTGAGATATAGGGTTGATCCATCTTCCGCCTCTTTTAGTCAGTTTTGTCTTGATCTCACAAGTTCAACCAGTAGGAATTAATTACCTCATTGGCATGTACTATGCTCGCTTTGTTGCTTTCATTCAACCGCCCGCTTCCACATGCAGACATATAGAAAGATTAGAATGCCGAATTGCTGCTTTGTTTTGTACTCCCTCCGTAAACTAATATAAGAGCGTTTAGATTACTACTTTAGTGATCTAAATGCTCTTACATTAGTTTACAGAGGGAGTACTATATGAACACCCACCCAACCCAAGCATTCATACGAAGTTAAGCAGCAGGGTACGTACCCAAAGCTTAACGTACGGTGACATTTCTTCTTCCATGGAGCTAGCATACCTCAGCTAGGAACAAAAATACAAGGAAGCAAGACATTGCTCCTAACTAACAAGGTATGCTAGCATACCTCAGCTAGCATATCTTGTTAGTTAGGAGCAGTGTTCATCTCTAGTTAGTTGGGAGCAAAATCCATTCCAGTCGCTATAGCTGACCTAGGTACTCCAACTCATCAAGTATAGTCACTCGTTAGGATAGTAGTGTTAGGTGTCTCCGTTTACCCACCAAAATGATTTTTGAACTATGCATGCAATGCAATCGTGGCCCTGTCAGATGTTGACACTACCTTGGTTGAATCGGTTGTTGATCAGTTGCTGTCACAAGAGTAGTGACCAAAGTGTTGTGGGAGCATATCCTGGTCCATGTTCTCCTCAATTAACTATTTTCTTCTTCTTTCCCGGTGGCGTCTCGTGTTATAGGACAATAGTACAGTGTTGTTGGTGACCGGCCATCTGGATTCTAGAAGCACCATGAATAAGCTCATATAATGCTTCAGGCCCGCAGCATATGGTTATGCCCATGTTTGCTGGAAAATAATACTAAGAACAACACTATTCCAACCGATTCCAAATTTGCCGGCTTTCCTTCCTTCTGGACTGAAATACGCATATCGAGAATATTGCAAAATTCCATTGTTTGTAATGCACGAGTATTAATTCTGACATGCGCTGCCTTCAGGGTTCCGGCAGGTGTACATCATCGCTTCGCTTGCAGGAGAAAAGAAAAGAATGTTGCTTGAGAGATGGCAGGGACGCGTTTTCATTCTCGTCCTGCTTCTTCTCTCCAACGCCTCAGGTATGTATGTCAGTGACTGTGATTAGGCATGTGCTCCGGTTTCAGAATAGTGAAGAGTTCAGCTAGTCCGAGTGATCTGGGTTACCCCACGTTTCATCTCGGTTTTTTTTCTCAACTATAGGGGTTTTGTAGCAGCCCAACAGCGAGCATCCGATGTGACACTGGTTCCATTCTCGCTTCCCTTTCTGCCCCCCAAGCTAGATTCGTTACTTAACTCGACATACTACATACATTCCCGTACATAGAGCATCGCAGAAAGGAAGAAAGATAGCAAGTGTGCGGCAGTACAAAAGCAGAGGCAACACGCGTCCAAGCTCATCGGTTCTGATCTGGCCTCGTGTTTAAGAAACTGAATGAATCAGCGCCTACCTAACATCCTTGATCAATGTTTCTCTTAGTTTGACACATGTAAAGGCCGCCTTATCGCTCGTTCCTTTCCATACCTTCGATTATCCAAATATAAAATTCGCCACTCAAGGACATAACAGACTCTGAACCCTGAAGCTAGCCATGCCCAAGCCTGGCTGTAATGCTGCAGCTAGTAAAAAGAAGCTCCAGTGATGATGATGTGGTCAAACAAGAAAATTCTTTACACAATCGCTGCTACACACTGGCAACCACTGACTCAAATTTACCGTCACGCATGATGGGCAGGCACTTCTCTGGGGGAGAACACGATCCTCCCTTCGAATTCTAAGCAGACCAGGCAAGCGCGCGTGTGCGACGGAGCAAACCACCGGCTGCTGCGCTCTCTCGCCAACACCGGGGCGGAGGTCATGGTCACCATCCCAAACTCACATCTGCAGCACATGGCCGAGTTCCGGGAGGAGGCCCAGCTCTGGGTCGCCGCCAACGTGGCGCCGTTCATCCCGGCGACCATGATCACGCACGTCCTGGCGGGAGACGACGTCCTGTCGTCCGTCTCCCCTGGGGATGCCGCATACTCGCTGGTCCCCGCCATGCGGAACCTCCACGCCGCGCTCGTCGCCGCCGGACTCGACGGCCGCGTCAGGGTGTCCACCATCCTGTCCGCGGTGCCGCTCGCCCCGTCGAGGTCCGCCGGCGTCGCGGGGCGCGTCCTGCGGTTCCTGGGGGAGACCGGCTCGCCCTTGTTCCTCCTCAAGGCTCGCGCGTCCGAGGCCGCTGCCGACGCCAGAGCCTACGATGCGTACGCCGCGATGCGGGCGCTGGGCTTCTCGGGCATCCCGCTGATCGCGGCAGAAGCAGAGCAGCTCGGTCTCGGTGGCGCGCTGGTGTACCACAGCTACTTGCATCATGCTGCCGGCGGAGGCGGGAGACGGTCGCTGGCGACGGGGACATTCTGCGTGGCGCTGCAGAACGCGGACCCGGCGGCGCTGCAGGCGGGGCTGAGCTGGGCGTGCGGGCAGGGGCAGGCCGACTGCTCGGCGGTGCAGCCCGGAGGGGCGTGCTACAAGCAGAACAACGTGGCGGCCCTGGCCTCCTACGCCTACAATGACTACTACCAGAAGAGCGCGAGCACCGGCGCCACCTGCTCCTTCAACGGCACCGCCACCACCACCGCCACTGATCCCAGTAAGCAGAGCACCAAGAGCCATTTCGATGCACAAGCTTATTGTCCTGAACTACCACCATGGATCGCTCTCTGACTCCTTCATGTTAATCCCTCATTGCAGGCTCTGGATCATGCGTCTTCGCAGGAAGGTGAGCACCATTTCTCGCGATACCTCAAATACCTCCAAGATCATTTGACAAATCTGACATGGTACCAATTTCGTGGTTGCAGCACCATGGCAGGAGGCTCCACCTCCAACTCGAGCGTGCCGAGCGCGAGCGCTCCGACGAGTCTCGGCGCCCCTCCATCAGATGATCTCACTCCTCCGGTCGGCTCAAGCCCTCCGTCCGACTTTGGGCCCCCGGCAGCCAACACAGCCCCTCCGACGAGCTTTGACGCTCCCACAGGTGGCTTTGGACCACCGTCTGGCTTCGGTCCCCCGTCTGTGTTCGGCAGCCCGCCATCGACGTTCGGCCCGCCTGGGAGCTTAAGCGGGAGCGGGAGCTTCGGGCCGAGCGGCACCCTCGAGCCTTACGGCGCCGGGTGCCGCCATGTCGCCTCCTTGGCTGCCTCCACCCTTCTATCCGCCATTGTTCTCGCCCTTCTTTGCGCGTCACCAGATCTGATGTAAATTCTCGGAGTATGAATTTGGATTAGCTATACAGAGCTAACGCTGTCGTTAGCTATTACTATCACATCTTATATGTTCTTGGTCTTGTAGGTGTCAGATTCAAGAGTATTTCGCGTTGCACTTGAGAACAACCTGGACACGTACCTGGGTAGTTAGCCTGGCATGTTTTGGATCCGGGATAGTTTCAGTTCACTTGTGGAAAAAAAATAGAAGGAGCTTCGGCGCGATGACTTTAGACATGCAACTTCTGAACCAACCGAGCATTTCTCTTCCCAGATGAAGTCAACTTTCAGAGTTCAAACCGTGTCTCCAGCGTCCTCTGGATGGTCAGCAGCAACCGCATTGTTGAAACAAAAGTGTTATAAGGAGCTGAAAAGCAACAAGCTAAGGATTACACAACTTAGTTGTTCATGTCAGGTTGTAACTCCGAGCAAGTTTCCGATAGGCTAGAACAGGACATATTCTTAGAACCAACACACAAAGAAAAAATTACAAGCGTGTCTACAGTATTGCTTGCCAACCTCATATTTCCATTAATACGAAATACTAAACAAGTGAAATAATCAGCTAATGAGTTAATGAAAGTGATAATTAAAAGCATCGTAAGCTCATGGCATTCATTTGAGTCCAAACAAAATGGCCCTAGACGTCACGGCATACTTTGCACCAAAGACTACTGATCCAATTACATGCTAATGGTGCAGCATATTAATTTACCATTTACCAATGATATATACCTTAATGCAGTACTGATTTTATTTTCATGTAGATTGTATGACTAAAAGAGAAAGAAAATTGGAAGCTGGAAATCAACTATGAAAAGTTTGCATATCTGATAATCACAAGAATTTGTATGGCGAACACCAGGATGACTAAGAAAAATGGTTTAAACTGGAGTGAAACAAAACTTGGTTTGGTTCTATGCCAAACAAATAGTTCCATTTTTATTTGAGCAAGTGCTAGATTTTCATTCAAAGAACGGAGGTTGTTGATGGACTAAAGGCAGGAAAATAAAGTTCTAAACTAGGCATTAACTGGCGAACCTCCTTCCAAGCAGGAACTTCTTCCTAGATGTCGGCAGTCAGGGAAAGGAGTGCTCCACTTGCCTGAAGATTCATCTATTTCTTTCTACCCATATCAACAAAAATATCAGAAGCTTTGAGGTTTTCTGTCGTTCAGGAAATCTAGCCCTAAAAAAACAACCTTCATGATGACACCTGGGTTTTCAAAGATAAACGGGAGAGACTGTCAAGTCCAGGCTCCGACTGCGAACTACTGCTAACAAAGCTGATTTTGTGTGGCATAGGGCGCAGGAGATGGAAGCGGTCAGCATGTAATCACTACATCAGGTTCCAACTGAATACTTCAGTTTTGAAAGGCGTAGAAATTGATAAGATAGCCATAGGACTGTTGCACTTGTAAAGTCTTTTCTCCAATATCTTCACTCTTTCGGGCATTTGCTAATTCTTGTAAATACCCCCCTTGTTAATGTATAGCCACAAAATGTGTTATTTTAGCGAAAACTATCGTTGTGTCTTCTGCTAACTTCTATACATATTTGTTCACATGGAGTTCATGTAATGTAGAGAAACTGTATACAAATCCTGTGGAAAAGTCAAAGGGTATTTAGAAGAGCACAGTGTCACCTGTGATTCAATAACAGAGCAATATGTCAAAAACAACATTATCTTCATAAGCATGTCAGTATTCAAAGATCATAAGAAACTATATACCTTCTATAGGGTTTCTATAACCTTGTATGAAGCATTTGTATTGCCAATATACTCCCATCTGCACACTACATCCACCTGCATCAAATGCACATCTATTATTAATGAACTCAATCTCAATATTCCATCTATGTTTGATCCTGTTCAGCTGTTCTTCATGGTGAACAATAACATTAACAGAACTTCGAGGTAAGAACTAACCTGAATTGGGTAGGAAAACCTGATTGGTAGCCTTGGCTAGCAATACACCATAGTGGTAGCTTAGTAGATAAAACAGCACAATCATGCTTTCAAAATAATAACCATGTTAATCAAGTATCCAGAGACCCAGTCAATTGAATCTTAAATTATCCAGATGTTTCTCTATCATAAGCTCTGCAGGATCATTCAGCGCACTGGTGACAGCTTTCTCCCATGCAGTTGACTCCAAAGCGTTCACCTTTGCTAGACGGCAGAACACTGACTCTAGCAACACCGCATTCCCTTCCCTCTCAACTCCCTGAATGAACTTGGTCACACCATCCTTGCTTGGCGAAAAACCCTTAAAAACCATTTCATCCAAAACCTGATCTGCTTCATGGAACGCCCGAGCAACACACATCCCATCAAAGAGCATTCTGTACGTCACCACATCAGGAGGGCAGCCCCTTCTAGGCATATCCTCAACCAACTCATTTGCGTCACGCCATCGCCCCAACTTGCACAGCCCAGCAACCAACGTGTTATAACTCACTGTGTCTGCCTTGCACCCACTGTTCTGCATGTCATCAAGCACCGCGAATGCAGCATCCAAATCGCCCTCATCCTCACAGAAACCTGCTATCATTGCATTGTGTACCACTGTATCAGCCTGAATATCCCTTCCCTTCATCTCTTCTAGCAAACCAACCACTTCCCCTTTCCGGCCGCCCCTAAACAACGCCCTAACCAAGGTCGCGTAAATGGCGGAATCCAGCCCAAGGTCTGCGTCCTCCACCATCTCCTCCTTGAGCCTGACCGCCTTGTCCACATCCCCCCTCTGACAGAGCCCCTTCATCAAACTGGCATACACATGGGCATTTGGCCTCACATTGTACTGCTTAGCCATGGCGTCCTTGACGTCGAACGCCTCCTCGAGCCGGCCACAATCGCAAAACGCGGCGACCAGGGTGCCAAACGTGACGACGGTCGGGGCGATCCGCCGCTCCAGCATTTCGTCGAACAGGAGGCGTACGTGGTCGATGGAGCCACCAGCCGCGCGCATGAGGATGTTGTAGGTGCACGCGTCGGGAGGGATGGCGGCGTCCCGGCAGACGGAGAGGAGCTCGGCGAGGGGCGTGCTGCAGGCGGCGAGGGCGTGGAGGAGGGCGTTGAGGGCGCGGGTGGTGCGGGGAGCGGGGAAGGCGGGGTGGGCGAAGGCGCGGCGGGCGGCGGCGGGGAGGCGGGCGCGGCCGTAGGCGGATATGACGCAGCGGAGCAGGAGCTCGCGAGGCTGAAGGGGGGAGGCGCGGAGGCTGGAGAGGAGGGACTCCATGGCCGGGAACTGGCGCGCGGCGGCGAGCTTGGAGATGATGAGGTCGTAGCAGCGAAGGGAGTAGCGGAACGGGGTGGAGACAGGGGTGGCCGGCGGGCTGAGGAAGAGGCGCAGCGCGGCGGAGGGGTCGCGCTCGCGGCGGAGCGCTGCGGCGAGGTGGTACGACGAGAACTTGGTTCCGGCCATGGCGGCGTTCGGCATCTCTCCCGAACTGGTAAGGAATTTTGAAGGGCCTATTGGCCTGGTCAGAAACACAGGCTTTTTGAACAGGACGGCGTGCACCTATGTTACCCCTTCCCCTCAAAAAAAAAAAATTGAGCGGTAAAAAAACCTATGTTATTCCTTCTTTTCTTTTGGATTTTGGAAAATGTTTGTGCCGTGCCGACTGGGTGAAACTTTTTCTTGAGCGGTAAGAAAAAAAACTAGGTTATCACACAAGGGCGCATCCTGAGCGCGACAAGTGAGAGTGGCTAGGCACACCGCTTGGCGCACTTCCGAGGCCTAAAAAGTGACCTTTGCGGGAGCCCCCAAAGGGGTACCCGTTAACTAGTTGCTCCACATGAAGAAGTAGAAATGACGATCTGAAGTATTCGGTGAGGTGATTGGATGGTCGAAAATCTATATCAAATAAATTGATAGGGGCTCTTATACACACCAAATCAAATCAAGCACGTTCTAAATGACTATATCAAATAACCAAATCATATGCGCGAAAAACACATTTGTCAATGGTTCGGTTTATAGTGTAGAAGATTCCACCAATATGCTTACCTAATAATAAATAGTAGCCATTATTAGGACATTAATTAGAGTGCACAGCTTAGAGATCTCTACCATGATATTTAATAAAAAATAGAATATATAAAGTATATGTGTATACACAATGTGTAACTTATGCAATTTTCAGAGCTTAATTCATGGAGAAATTTTGCAACACAAAATTTTGAGTAATATATATTGCAACAATACAACAAATGTTCACAAATTTCTCCCTTAGTCCATCTTATATGCGACCGTACGACAACTGAAATAAAATACTCTTATTTATTCAGTAGAACCTTATTCTTGTATTTTTGGTGATATGTAATGAATAAATTGTTATGTGATTAACTATGCCAGCTAAGTAATGAAAGTTATACTCTTTACGACTATAGTATTACAAAAACAAATTTAAACAGGTATAAATGTTCAGTATAAAAATACGTGTTTTAATCTCATGGGCAACCAAGAGAGGTCTATCACATCTTGTATATATCTACTAGGTGTTGGGGCGCGCCCGTGGCGCGCCTCTTGAGGGGGAGCTGGGCGGTGCCTAGTTGTAGTCGCCCCTTTAACACTGATTTCTATTCTAATTAACGTTTGGGATTATTGCTTTAATTAAGAAATTTAGCAGCAGAAATAGAAATATATATATATATATATATATATATATATATATATATATATATATATATATATATATATATATATATATATATATATATATATATACAGAGAAAGCCCATTATGGATTTAAACATGAAATATCTGACTGAGAATAGTGCATTTAACATAAGCAGCAACATAGGTTTAGCGTCTTGAAAAGCATGTGATAAGAGGGCCCAAAAGCAAACCACAGGTTATCACAGGATAGAGCATAATTAGGAGTACTTAGTGCTACATTATATTAGATTATATTGACACAGGGGCTGCAGTGTCTTTGATGGTGCACCTAGAGGCGATGCACGGTGAGAACCAGGCGGCGCTTTGAAGTGATC